AAACAAAAAATCGAGATACAAGAGGATATCTGAACCAAGACAGCAACGGGTCATCTTTGTATTCCCCTTCCCTTTTTTTCTCCCCCACCTCTTTGAGTCAGGGTCTTGCTCTATCACCCAGGCTGGAGTGCAAGTGGTACAGTCACGGCTCACTGCATCCTTGAACTCCTGGGCTCAAGCGATCCTCCTACCTCAGTCTCTCAAGTAACTAGGACTACAGATGTGTACCACCACACCCAGCTAATTTTTAAAAATATTTTTGTAAAGATGGGGACTCGCCACATTGCCTAGGCTGGTCTTAAACTCCTGGCCTCCCAAATGCTGGGATTACAGGCATAAGCCACCATACCTGGCCTTTTATTCACATTTTAGAAAGAAAAAGATTTATTTTCTACTGCTAAGAAATACCAGGGTAAGGGGTCCAGAAGTCACTGTGTCCATAATTGGAATAACATTGAATGCTAAGGGTGTTATAAACATAGTCAAAGAAAACTAGGAACACATCATCTCTGCTTACCTGCCCAGAATTCCTTCATCCTGATGTGGTCCATCCCCAATTTCTCAGAGGTACAGAGATATTTTTGAAGCCTTACATCTAAAACCAATAATGACAAGATTGACTTTGGAAGTCAAGCTGCCTGAGTTTGACGCTAAGATCCACTACTTGGTGATTGTGTGGGCAAGTGTTAATCTCCCTAAGTCAATGATTTTGTTTTTTTTTTGAAATGAGACAGAGTCTTGCTCTGTCACCCAGGCTGGAGTGCAGTGGCACTATCTCGGCTCTGCCTTCTGCGTTCAAGCACTTCTCCTGCCTCAGCCTCATGAGCAGCTAGGATTACAGGCACCCGCCACCACGCCTGATTAATTTTTGTATTTTTAATAGAGATAGGGTTTCACTATGTTGGTCAGGCTGGTCTCGAACTCCTGATCTCAAGTGATCCGCCCACTTCAACCTCCCAAAGTGCTGGGATTACAGGCATGAGCCACTGTGCCCGGCCCCTAAGTCAATAATTCTTAAGTTTTTTGGTCTCAGGGCTTTTTTATACGCTAAAACTTGTTGTATAGATCATATTTGCTTTATTAGAAATTAAAAGTTTAAAAAATATTTACTAATTCATTTAAAAGTGATAACCCTTATAGGATAACATAAATAACATTTTTGTGAAAAAAAATTTCAAAAATAATTATTTAGTGAGAAGAGTGGCATTGTTTCACATTTTTGCAAATCTCTTTAATATCCAGCATAATGGAAAAAAGCTGAATTCTCATACCTGCTTCTGTATACTGGATTCTCATCTTGTTTTAGTTGAAATATATGAAGAAAATGTGGCCTCATATTGATATGTAGTTAGAAAAGGGAGGGGTATTTTAATAGCCTTTTATGATCTTGCAGATAAGCTTTACTACTATACCAAAACTCAGCGAGTGGTGGTTTCTTAAAGGTTAGTTGCAATGTAGAATCTGATAACATGTTAGTGATCTTTTTGTACTCTGTTACGTTAAAATCCTTTGGTCTTTGAATCTTTCCCTATGAACAGATCTTTCACCCATGCATGATGTTGTAACATCGTGCACTGATCATTTAGAAAATATTGGTTCGCTGAGGTATGCGAATTTTCTAAATGTTACCGCATTGCATTACACAACGTCAGAAATATTTATTCATTAATATCCACACTGATCTCACCAGAAAAGTCTTGAGTATTGGAAAAGTGTCAAATGCACAGTGACGGAGTTTGGATACAAGTTTTCTAAAATTCTGCTTTTCACTTGGAAGCTCAAATTTTATCCTTGGCAACAAAAACTATTTCTTGAAGCAACAGGCTGTCTCCCTTTATATTTTCAGAAAGACAAGTCTGAGCAACCCTAGTTTGTCAATCGTCCTTTGGTGTTTCATAAGAAGCGAGTTCAGCTCAAACTCAAAGCAGTGCTTTTCCTCCAGAAAAATATCATCACTGCAGTATGCAGCAGGAATGTTCTATGTGTGCTTTCCATTTCATTCCACAGAATATTAAAAATATGTGTACTCGGCCAGGCACGGTGGCTCACACCTGTAATCCCGGCACTTTGGGAGGCCAAGGCAGGTGGATCACCTGAGGTCAGGAGTTCAAGACCAGCCTGATCAGCATGGTAAAACCCCGTCTCTACTAAAAATACAAAAAATTAGCGGGGTGTGGTGGCAGGTGCCTGTAATCCCAGCTACTTGGGAGGCTGAGGCAGGAGAATCACTTGAACCCAGGAGGCAGAGGTTGCAGTGAGCCAAGATCGTGCCATTGCACCCCAGCCTGGCCACAGAGTGAGACTCCGTCAAAAGAAAAAAGAAAAGGATGGTCAGGTGGTTGTACAGAAAAAAAAAAAAAAAATCCTGGACAGTCTAATGATAAGCATCATCTTTAAGGGTTTAAATTATAATGACAGTTATGCTTTAAAAAACTCAGTAGCAAATATAGAAATATTCTTTTAAAATACAACAAAA